TAGTGTACCATCACTAATATACGTGTCCCCTTCGGTAGTAATATGAAAACCATAAAACTGGGGATGAACTCTAACTCTATCGGAACGTCTAAGAGGTAAGGATTCGTCAATCGGTTCAACCGGAGTTTCCTCCTCGGGTTGAATGCCAGCGGTAGAGGTTCCTTCATCTATCGACTCTTGAATCTCTTCAAGTTCGATTTGCCTCCCACTGTCTCCTTGGCTTATGAGTTCTCGCTCTCGGAAAACTCCTCTCCTCGCAACAAAGACAACATTGTCTTTCGGTCTATAGAAGAGATATCCAAAGGATGTTTGCGGGTAGCCGATGAAAATACATCGCTCACTTCGAGGTTCAAGCTTGTCGTGAGTATCTCGTCTTACGAAAGCCTCGCAACCCCAAACCTTGATATGTGCCAACGAGGGAGCTTTCCCTGTCCACATCTCGTGAGGTGTTTTGGCAACCTTCTTAGTAGGGACTCGGTTAAGGATATGGGCGGCAGTCTCTAAGGCATACCCCCAAAAGAAGATAGGTAGTGAAGCACGACTCATCATAGAGCGAACCATATCCAATAAGGTTCGATTACGCCTTTCTGCCACACCATTCAACTGCGGTGTCCTAGGAGGCGTCAATTGCGAAACTATTCCACACTCCTTGAGATAATCGTGGAATTCAAGACTTAGGTACTCTCCTCCTCGATCGGATCGAAGCATCTTGATTTTCCTGCCCAATTGATTCTCCACTTCATTCTTGAACTCTTTGAACTTTTCAAAGGTGTCTGACTTTTGCTTGATTAAGTAGATATACCCATATCTACTATAGTCATCGGTAAAAGTCACATAGAAGCGGTTCCCATCCTTCGTGGTTGATCTAAAGGGTCCACATACATCGGTATGTATTAGGTCCAATAGCCCCTCACCCCTTTCACAAGTACTCGTGAAGGGTGACTTAGTCATCTTTCCAAGTAAACAAGACTCGCATGTGTCATCTTCCCTAAGGTCGAATGACTCCAACACTCCATCCTTTTGGAGTTGTGCTATGCGTTTCTTGTTGACATGTCCAAGACGACAATGCCACAAGGATGCTTTATCCATACTAGTGGAAGAATCAATATTCAAAACATCATTTCCTAAGTTATCAACAATCATAACAGTTTCATATATTCCATTACATGGTATAGCTTCAAAGTAAAAGACACCATTTAGATAAGCCAAAATAGAACCATTCTCATTATTAAAAGAAAATCTAAATCCTTGTCTATATAAACCATGAAATGAAATGATGTTTCTAGCCATTTCTGGCGAATAGCAACAATTGTTCAAATCTAAAACCAAACTATTCCTAAGCACTAAAGAATACACTCCAATCTTGGTCACAGGCGACGATCTTCTGTTCCCCATGATTAGATTGATCCTTCCTTGCTCTACATCCCTACTTCTTCTTAGTCCCTGCACATTAGAACAAATGTGATAACCACAACCGGTATCAAGAACCCAAGAAATAGCATGATTAGAATCGTTAGATTTGATTGTGTATATACCTGCGAAAGATGGCTTGATCTTTCCTTCTTTGATCGCTTGCAGGTAATCCGGGCAGCTTCTCTTCCAATGTCCTATCTTGTGGCAGTGGTGGCACTCTGCCTCCTTTGGGTTGGAGCAGGGCTTAGCGGGATCAACTTTGGTCCCACTAGAAGAGGCACCATCTCGGGCTTTCACCTTGCGATAGTTATTCGATGAAGCTTTCCTCTTCTTTCCCTTCCCTTGACCAATAGCCAAGACAGGAGCAGCGGACGGATTGGGAGTAGGTGCAACAGACTTGTCCTTGAAGTTGCTCTCAGCGACCCTCAAGAGACCTTGGAGTTTGCTTAGGGTGACCTCTTCTTTGTTCATGTGGTAGGTCATCCTAAATTGGTTGTACATCGGAGGCAAAGAGTGAAGCACCATATCGATCGCCAAGTCTTCACCGAAGTCAACATTTAACTTGCGAAGGCGGTCGACATACCTTTGCATCTTTTGCAGGTGCACGGTAAGAGATTCTCCATGACCCATCTTAGCGGAGATCATGTTAGTGAAAATCTCATAACGCTCTTGTCTCGCGTTTTGGTGGTATCTCTCCAACAAGTCTTGATGCATCTCGTATGGATACATGTCCTCGTAGGACTTTTGGAATTCGGAGTTCATGGTGGCGATCATGATGCAATGTACCTTCGTTGCATCTCGCTCATGAGTTTCAAAGGCGGTGATTTCTTCGGGAGTAGCAACTTCGGGGTTGATTTTCTCGAGCTTCTCATCGAGGACATACTCTTTATCCTCATAGCGAGCAATGGTGCGAATGTATCTTATCCATTCGCTAAAGTTCGTTCCATCGAAGGTGACCTTTTGGCAAAGGCTCATCAACGTGAAAGAACTAGCAGCAGCGTTGTTTGCGTTCGACATCTTCAATTAGAAAAAGGACAAAGATAGATTAGAATAATAATCCCTAATTATCACCCAATAAGAAAATTAGGGCTAGGATCCAACAATAACATTTACATACTAGAAAAGGGATGCCGTAATCTAACATGCAAATAAATTGAAGGTAAGTGAATGACGATTCACTAATTCTCCATTACAAAACTTAAACTATTAGTCCTAAGTGTTTTTGAGAATTCCTAGGTTCGGATGAGATTCATTGAAACTATTCAATGGCATGTTTAAATCTCGATATGCCCCTCTCGTTTGTGACTGGGATGCCGAGGATCACAAAGCGGGTGTGAATTACCATGCAAATTCACATGGTGCCTTCATTGTAACGATCACCTATTCGATGTGCCGGTAAACCACACACGCTCCATCGAACTATGATAAACAATGAATCACCCTTTGCCACCTTCGCTTAGAACCAATTAGTGTGCCGGTAAACCACACACGCTCCACTAACTTCTTAGCAAGGTGCAAAGTGTAATTTCATGGGATTGCATCAATTCACTTTTCCTAAAGTAACTAAGATTGGGAAATTTTTAAAACGTGTAGTTACTTTGTATTTCTTATTATACTTTTAATGAGAAGATGAGGTTGCCCTATCCTACCCGTTCGGCTAACGACCCTCCACCAATCAAGCAAGCGGTGGGTGTGAGTGTACACCCATTAAGCGCCATTTTATAGGCCGCAACCTTATACCCACCTTATAGATCGGCTTCGTGAATGAGGCCTACTAACGGTAAGACTAGCATTTAGTTATACATAGATATATTATTCTAGTAATATCATATTAGTATAGGGTTGTATTTTAATTTTTTTTCAAAATCTAGGGTTTGAAATTTAAGTTGTCTAAATTAAAACTTTTAATCACAAATATAAATTTCAAAACTTTAGGGTAGGTTTTAAACATTTAAAACATGAAGGATCAAATAACAAATAATTCCAATTAACAATTAATATCCTAATTATCTTTATTTGATTTATCCAAGATTTCTTTTAAGATAATTATCAAAATAATTAATCATTTATCACATAAGGAAATTAAATATTTTATTAGATGATAAATATCTTTAATTAGATCAAGATTATAGTCATATATATCAAAAAAACGGATTAGGGTTGATCTAATATGATTAAGGTAAGTTTCCATAAGATAAACATGAAAAAATCCCGGTTTTGCCTAATCCAGACGCCCGGACTCGCCGAGTACACAAAGGGACTCGCCGAGTCAGGCCTACTCGCCGAGTCCACTTTGGAACTCGCCGAGTCCATGACTCATAAACCCAAAATCGAATTTTGCAGGTTTGTTTCAGTTAATCAAGCAACAATTTAAAGAAAACCAAGCTAGGCTCTGATACCACTGATGGGTTTTAGCCATAAGAACTTTCCTATGTGCGCATGCAAAACCCTAATGCTTGGATCTAGGCTTTCTAATTAAACATGCTTTGAATCCAAGACTTCTAATGGCTAATTAGGTTAAATAACAACATTGAAATAGATCTAGAATCATACCTTTGGATTCCTTGTTGATCTTGTTGTCTTGGAGCTTCTAGAGTCACAAATATCACTCCTCTAATGGCTTACAAACACCAATAGCAAGCAAGATGATTTAGGAGAGAGGAGAGGGGAGGAATTCGGCCAGAGTATCTCTACTTTTGATGGTGTGTCGAATTCCCTCACCCCTAGGGTCTATTTATACTTGTAGACTCCTTAAGGGTTACAACCTAAACCCTAATTGGATAATCTTCTCTTAAGGCTATCCAAATCCATTCCATAGATAGGCCTTTGGACGATTTTAGCTATCCTATATCTCATAGAATTCGTCCAAAGCATATCCCAATGGATTTATAGTCTAAAGTTTAACTATCAAACAATTGACAGTTTATACCCCTTTATTTAATTAATCTCTTTAAGTCACCAAATTAATTCCAATTAATCTATGACTTATATTAATCAAATAACCATATATTATTCCTTATATTATTTACTCTCTTTTAACAAATCATCCATCAAGTTGCTATGGTGAAGGCAACCTAAAAGGACCATGCACAACCGGATCAAATACTTGCCTAATATAGTTGCAGCCTTAGACACTATTCCAACAATGATCAGTTAGTTCCGGACTTCGGTACGATGCATTCAGTTCCGGACTTCGGTCCGATACAACTAGTTCCGGACATCGGTTCGATGCAGGGGACAAGGTCCCAGTCAGTTCCGGACTATGGTCCGATGCAGTATATAGGCTCGTTTAGGTTCGCGAGCCCTTAATTGAAGCTTGGCTCGAGCTCGTTTAACAAACGAGCCTTATTTATAGGCTCGAGCTCGGCTCGGACTCATTTAATTCGATCTCGAGTCGAGTTTTTAACGAGTCGATCCCGAATAGCTTACGAGTAGCTCGACTCACTTACACCCATAACCTCAATATTTTTGATAAATATAAGGAACGAATTTATAGTTTTTTATATAAAATAGAAATTATGTAATCACAATAAATTAAGAAAAAGGGAATCTTTATTTTGAATCTTGTGTTCAAACATCATTTTGTAAAAGATTTCAGCAATGGATTCTAATATTCTATTTTATCAGGAACTTATGATATAAAGTGAATTTATTCGTTTTGTGATATTCTGTGAGTACGAATACCAGCAGCAACAGGTAAAATCAAAAGAATCATTCTTCCTCGTCATCCTCCCTCTGTGATTGATTAACAAGCAAAGTCTATCATCACTTCCACTCTGCCTTGTACGCAATCTCTCTTTCTTTCGTTTGCCTTTCGATTTCACGTCTCCCTGGTACGTTCTCTGACCCCTGATTTTTATCAACAACGATCCAATTTCTTTGCTTTTAATCCCCACTTGTTTTATCTGTTAAATCTCGTCTTCTTCTTATTCCGATCCGACCTTTTTCTGATCTCAATTCCCTGTAGATCAATAAGAAATATGTAAGCTTATCTGAAAATTTCACATCTCTTCCACATAGTTTGAGCAAAATTTGACTTTTGTGATAAGTAACGTACGACTTGTGATTGTGATGATGAAAACCCCTTTTACACATTTATCGTTTTCAGGTATTGATTTATTTGGTAAGTAGGGATTCGAAGATCAAGGGGTCGATTTGTGTTGAATATTTGGGTAGGAGGAATGGATATATTAGGGTTGTAGTTGGGTAGCGTTATGTTCTGATTTACAGAAGCATGGATTTGCAATATAACAATCCTAATGAACATGGAAGAAACGAGCAAATAGTGTCTCAGTTTCTGTTGAAAAGTTTGCATATTGTGTTGGAGTCTAGGATTCCTTCGATTGGGAATGGGAATGGGAATGGGAATGGGAATGGGAATGGGCCTACTACGAGTACGAGTGGTCGTAGGGGAAACTTACAAAGCCAAAGCCAAAGCGAAAGCCAAGTGAAGAAGAGTGATAAATGGTTCAATTTAGCATTAGGTGAGCGTCCCAGTCCCACAGGTTTAGATAGTTTGAAATTTTGGCACAGGAATATAATGGAACCCATGATGATAGACATTATACTAGTTCAAGAAATGGGTATGGGTACAAGGTCTGGATATGGAGCATTAGTTGAGACAGTTGTCGAGAGGTGGGTGGTTCAGTATGAGTATGAGTATTCAAGGACGTCGGCATCTAGCAGCGAATCTTATAAGAAAACATATAAGAAGTCTATCATTCTGTTACGTTCTCTGTATACAATGATGAGGCTCCTTCCAGCGTACAGGGCTTACCGAAAGCTGTTATGTATTTCTTCAAGTGAGGGTGAGGGTAAGGGTAAGGGTTGTGGTTTTGATATAAATTACAGGGTGTCCTCCTTTAGTGCCCCGTTTACAAGGGCAGAGGAAGAATCAATGAAACACTACAGTTTCTTCCCCATAGAAGCCCAGCATGGACGCCTGTCTATATCTGTGAAATATCGTGAAAGTCTGGCTGATTTTAACTTGGAAACCTCAGCATCATTTCCACCTGAGATCATTACAGACTACGTTGGCAGCCCTGCCACTGATCCTTTTAGGGCTTTCCATTTCCCAGTGATGAATAGAGTGGGCGTGAATGCTAATGCCACCACATCTTTTCCTTCATCGGCAGCAGCACCTCCTCCTCAACGGCCACATAGCTGGACAAGTGGCTTAAGCAGGGGAGCACCATTCACACATAACCAATACTCACCACCACCACCACCACCCGCGCAGACACATCGCTCTTCCAGTGGGCGATATGATTCGCTTACAGATGTGTATGGTCCAAATTATAGGCCACCAAGCTTTGATGATTATCAACTTTCACCGCCATTTTCACCGTCTCCCCCAACATACCTTCCCATGCAATCTCGGCCGCGCTCAGAGACTGCCCCCGTCAGTATCCCTATGATCAACAGAACTCCCAGTCCCAGATACCTCTCTCCTAATCTCTCTGATCCTGCTAACCGACATCTTCCACCCCCATCACCTAGACGCTATGATCATGACTCTCCTTCTGGAATCAGGTCCCTTAGAAAGTCAGACATGTCGAGGATTGGGATTGGGGACCTGAGTTCCGGTTCTGGTTCCGGGTCAGCAAATCATTATTCTAGTCACAACCCCAAGGTACGTAAACTCACTCACTGTTTAAAAGTAAGCTTTGGATCTGAGACTGAAGGCCGTGGGTTTGTTTGTTTCTTCTACTGCTACAGGTGGTATCTAGGGATAACAAAGATGATTCAGGGAGGTTTTCAGGTTTGCTTTCTTCAAGTGGTTCGCCTCGTGTTGGATTCTCTAGAAGCTCCAGTAGATTGTCTCTCCAGGATGAGTTGGATGATATTGACTTCTCCTGTCCATTTATTGTGGATGATGTTGATATTTGTGACTCCTCTCTCAGTGTCAGGTAAGTTTTAACCAAGCCAACCAACCAACCAACCCCAATAGGATCTGTTTCTATATATAAAAATTAAAAAGCAAGGTTAATGTTTTAATTTTTCTATTGGCGTTTCTCAGTGAGAGTGGTGGTAAACAAGCAGGAAGGGAGTTGTCTAAGAAATCACAAGATGCTGCAGTGGGTGCACTTGTCCGCATGCTGAGGACAGCACCACCCCTTCGACAAGATTCCAGTTGCTACTCCTTGAGCACCAGCAGATATGCTTTAGAGGAGTCTGAATTTAACAACAACAACAACAACAGTGGACTATTTTTGTCCCGAAAGACATCAGATGCTTTAGAGGAGCTCAAGGCCTACACAGACATCAAAGACCTTATTCTCTCCAAAAGTGGGACTCGCTTTCTTACCAAGGAACAACCCCTCTGACTTACTCTCCTGTCATCCAATGTTTCTTGTAAACCAAACATGAGTGAAAACTACTACTGCAATGCAATTACATTTCTACTCTATTATTTCCCCTTTCTGTTTACGTTTGGATTTTACACATCCACATCCACATCCACCTCCACCTTCACCTCCACCTCCACCTTCACCTCCACCTCAATTATTATTTTGTATATATATTTATTCACACAGCCAATGCAAATGTAATTTATAGATAATCAATAATTGGTTAAAATTTTACAGTACGACCTCAAATTGAATTTCTTACATTGACTTACAACTTTTATTAGGCAATAATAATAATTGGTTAAAATTTATTAACTTCTTGTATCCGCTTCAATCTTACGCTGGTCAAAGCTCATTCAAGTTAAAGTAATTTATAGATAATCAATAATTGGTTAAAATTTTACAGTACGACCTCAAATTGAATTTCTTACATTGACTTACAACTTTTATTAGGCAATAATAATACCACTCAAACATGACAAAGGAATATGGTTGTGTAGTACCTACTCACTTACTTGTTCATCATATTATTTTTCTCGATTTTATGAAATCATATCAAACAAACTATAATACTTTTCAAGACAATGTGTTATGTTCTTAAGTTTGAAGAGAACAAAAAAAATATTAATGGCAAGGTCTTTCTTTTTAGGAATGTTATGGGGAATAAAGCAGAGTTTGATCACCTTGTAGAGAAAGGGTAAATTAAATAGTAGAATGTAAATAAATATTATATACATGTTTAATCATATTTTATATGATAAAAGAAAAAATAGGCAATATATATATATATATATATTATATATATATATATATATATATATATATATATATATATATATATATATATATATATATATATATATATAATTGAAAATTTTTGATTTTTTTAAATATTATTTTCATCACTTTTTTTATCCAAAAAATAAAATATTTCAAATATCTGTAAAATATTATAATATTCTAGTACAATATTAGAATATTTTACATATCTGACAAATCTACTAAAATACTAGAATATTCTATCATTCTAAAAATCACATTGGAATATTTATAGTGTATTCTATTAGAATATTTCACGTATTTGTAAAAAAAAAAACGATAACTTTTTTTTTTTTTAATTTTTTTATATATATTTATTTTTTTTTTATTTTTTTAGGTAAGGAAAATGATGAAAATAATAATTAAAAAAGGAAATTTTGGATTTTTTTTTATTTTGCATTTTAAAATTATTTTTAGATTGTGTCTCACGGTCTCACAAAATTAATATGGTCTTAAATGAACCTAAACACACACACACACACACACACACATATATATATATATATATATATATATATATATATATATATGTATATATATATAGTCTAATAAGTATTATTACAAGTATGAATTCAAAATTTGACCAACAATCGTAGCTTTCAAAAGCCGCTGTCAAACTCTAATCTAATCAATGACGTGTCCTTAAGATAAGTGATCAAATATCCCACCGTTCTACAATATATCATATGGACATAAGACATGGATTATAATCATTCTCTCTATCCAAGGTTTGTTTCCCGATTTTCAATTTATGACGACTGATTAATTGAACAAATCAAATCAGTCCAAGCTTGACCAAGTGCTTAGGGTGTCATCACTAAATCATCGAGGGGCCCACAAATATCGCTTTTATCCCATTTGGGGTAAAAGCAATGGATAAACTTCGACTCATATGCTTGTACTATTTACTCATCAAAACACACACAACAATGCGTTTTATAACATCATGTTACTGATATGTTTATGTATTATCAACGCACAACCGACTTGTAAACAACAACTCATATGTCTCCGTTTCAAGAATATAAGATATTATCGTCTCAAAATTACTCGTCATAAAATCCATGATGTAATTCTTGAGCATTGGTTTATCCAATACTCAAATTCTTATTTCAAGAGTACTCATGAACACTGCGCCAAACATTTGCTATGTCTAAGCACTTAGACAATCAACTTAACACTTGAATTAAAAAACAACTATTATGCTATGCTCCAAGAACGCACACTGTTATGCTATGTGTATCTGTTGGAACCTGAAAGTGAACCTCTAGTAATCTTAAGCTCAATTCCGAAGTGGAGATATTCCGAAATAATGATGGTCCGGAGTAGAATGTGAAGAGTGGTCCGGAAGCTGTTCGGACCAAAAGAGAAAAAGAAGAAAAGTTGAAGTGAAGACATCCCGGAATGACTCTCATGTCCGGAATGGGTGCTTATCCGGAATCACCTCATTTTGTCTTTATGCATTTATTAAAGTTTGTCTTTACATTGATATGACTTTTCATAGGACTTAGTCTTTTTGTAATATTAGACAATCAGAATGTCAGAAACAATTCTATTGTCTGGTCCTAAGTCAGTATCGTAGTTCTTTCAATGTAATCTTTGGTCCTATTTATAAGACTCTTTAATGCAAATTCAAATGACAGATCATTCATTATCAAACATAGAGTTTTCACTAAGTTCATTTATTTCTCTCAAAAACATTCTCATTGTTCTTCATATAATATATTTATATTGATCATTATCTTCTCTCTTCATTTATATCTTGAATACATTGTTAGAAGTACTTATTCAGACTTGACTGGTCTTGCCAGACTTGAGTGGTACACTTGTTAGAAAGCAGACATTGATCTTAAGCATTCATTCAAAGTTTTAGTTTTCAAATCTTGTCACTGCGCATCAGATCGTCGTTGCTTTCACAATTAGTATCAGAGTTTGAGTGCTTGTCCTTTGAATCCATAAGATCAGATTATCGTTGATTTGAAATTACCTTGGTATTTTAATCATATTTTTGTTAAGGATAAAAGTTCTTCTATATACCACTTCTTCTCAAGATATCTTAACTTCAATGGCTGCTTCTAATCCTCAACAAATGTATTCAATGCAAATAGAAAATAGCATGGGATGCCCTACTTATGCCTCATTGCTAGTTGTTGAAGAATATGATCATTGGAAAGTAAGAATGGAGAGATTTTTACTTAGAAAAGAAAAAGGTGAATCTATCTGGAGATCCGTCAAAAAAGGTCCTCATGTTCCGGTTCGAATAACTGTAAGAGATGTTGCTGCTCAACTTATGGGTCAAGATGAAACTCGTCCAGCTCCTCTAACGGTTGATGATCTTGAGAAGTTGCATGCTGATCAAATTGCCTTCTCCGAAATGGTGTTTGATGTTCCTCCTTCTCTTTTCGAGCACATCAAACTATGCAAGTCAGCTAAAGAGATATGGGATACTCTCAAAAATTTATTTGAAGGGTCAGAGAATATGCAGGACAAACGGTTGACTTCAGTTGTTAATGAGTTCGACACTTTCACTACCACTCCTAGTGAATCTGTTTCCTCAGCTTCAAACAGATACCGAATTGTTGTCAATAACATGACAACTCATGGAATAGTTTGAACTCCTCTTGAGTACAACCTGAAATTCATCAACAGCCTCGGAAAAGGATAGGGTAATGTGAAGTCTTGTCTTTAGAGTAATGGATCTCTAAAGAAGCTCAATCTCTATCAACTTTTTGATGAGGTTCAGGGTCATGAATCAAACATTGCTCAAACTCTAAGAGGACTCTCTGGAGGTCCCCTTGCTTTAGTCAGTTCCTATGACCATTCTCAAACCTCCAACTCAAGCACTACAGACTCTCTCACTACTGCTATACCACTTACTTCTTCCGTACTTCATACTGCTTCGACTTATGCCAAATCAAATTATCCTCCTATGGATAATTTGAATCCTGATGAAAAAGAACCAAAACTTCGATTCCAACAAGAATTTGCTTTACTCTCAATGAAGTACAATCGTCCATTCCACAAACCCTACAATAAACCCTTCAAAAATCACTTTCAAAATCCTCAACAAAATAATCGCTTTCAAACTCCTCACCAAGACAATCCTCAATCCTTCAAAAATCCTTTAGAAAAACCTCATACTTAGAAACCAAATCTTCCAAATCCTCCAAATAAGGATCATACTTCAGAATTCTCATAGGTTCCGAAATCAGAAAAACCAAAAATTGTGTGTCACAAGTGCGGACATGAAAATCACTTTGCCAAAGATTTCTTAGCTAAAGTCCCTCAAAAACAAAAGGTTAAGGACTTCGCTTACTATGCTCGACGTGCTCAGGAATTGGCCGAAAGTGAAAAGGCTTTTGTCACCACTGTGTCAAGAGATGTGGAAGGCTACTGGTTATCTGGGCATGATGATGATTCAAAAATTGGAAGAAATATGTGTCTCATGGATCGACAAGAAATAGAGTGTGATGAAGGCTATTGGTCACCTGTATCTGAAAGGGAAGATGAAGATGCTGAACCCAACTACTGCTACATGGCTTCGAACGATCCGCCAGGAAGAAGCATCATTCAACAAGTAAAAATTATTATTTCTGAAAATAATTTTGATTTATCTGTTTGTGAACCATATCTAACTCAGATCCAATCTGACATGAACATCATTTCAAAGCCTATGAGTCAGCCATAGAATCCAGTAAGAAGAAGGAAATCAAGTTAAATCGTCTTAGGTTACATTTTGAGGATAAGAAGTTGAACATAGAGTCTTTAGAACATGATCTTGTAATGTCAAAAGATGATTGTATCATTTTAAAAGACAAATGTGAAATCACTTATTCTGAAAGAAATATTTTGATTAGTGATAACTAACATCTCAATGCTAAGATAGATGCTTTGCACAATTCCATTGACATGCTTGAAGTAGATATACAAATGACTCATAAATTTTGTCATCCATGGTCCAAAGCACCTGGTCTCGGAAGCAAGTTTCCAAAGCCAGTTGCTTGTCCTTTGAAGGAATTGCAAAATTTGACATTCATGGGAGGTTCTGAACATCAAACATTCGGACACCCCAGTTTCTCTCTTGTCACCTCTTCATGAAAAAGAAGATTAATTTTCTTCCTTAATTCCTGAGTTTCAACCAATTGTTGTCAAGTGTCCTGATTCCATGCCTCTTCCACCTCTGACAAACCAGGACCTAAATTGGACCACGAAATTTCATCACAACGTTTCAAATTGTGTAGATTATGTTCCAAGACATAATCCTCCTCACAACTGTGTTATTGAGGAAATCATTTCGGTGACAACTGAAACTGCATCCTTAGACGATAAAATTGAAACCTCAAGTTGTGTCTCCTCTGATTCTTGTGAATCAGGATCCTTAGTTACTTCAAAAACCAAGTTGGTTCCCATTGATCCGAAATTTAGTAACCTTCTGCAGGATAAACCT